CGTTTGTCCTCATCTCTCGGGCAGCACAGCCCTGCATGCAGAGGCCACATCCCATGGTCCCATGGGTGCCTTGACATCACAGGACAAATAGGGGATTTCCAGGCTTCTTGTCACCAACTGCCTGCTGCAGATCCAGTACGTCAGAGCAGCCTGGGGCCCACGGCGCATCTAGGTATTGCTTGCACATACTTGTTTAAATCACGCATCCAGTACTGCCCTGTCATAACCTGCTACGAGAACAATTCCATCCCAGTTCCGCACCCTGAAGGCCTCTCTGTTACCCTTTTGTGAAACAGAGACTCAAAGGCAGAGCTCGGGCAGCACGAGGTCCTCGAGTCTCACTGACCACCTGCTGTCCCTACCAAGTGCCTGTGGAAAAAGCTTCACCCCGCCTCCCCGTCCTGGGACCCAGGAGCCACCCACACCCCACCTCTGTCACGAGCCCTCCATCCGAGGCGCACTGTACTTGCCTGGGAATGTCACCTGGACTTACTGTTTGGACACTGGTGGCTGTTACCAGGCAGCTGTGGGGCCAACTCGGGGAGTTCACCCAGGAAGCGTGAAGGCCTTGCTTTGAATAATTTCCATTTCCGGTCTTAGAACTTTCTACTCACATTTTAAAGAATAGAAGCACTCTAGATTCAAGCTGAGAATCTCGCAGCTCCTTGCTGGGTGTGGCCTGGACAAAGCCCCGTCCCACTTTCCCTTCGGTCCAGGCTGCCCGGGGTGGGGGTGGTGACTGGCACAAATGACGTGACTTCTGTCCGCAGAGCAGCACCGCTCAGCGTCCCTCATAGGCATCATGCGTGTGTGTGTCCCCGTGCTTCCAGACCAGCCCTGCGTGTCAGGTGTGGAGATAGCACTTGTTGAATGCTGCAGCAGCTACGTGACATCAAGTCACACGGGAAGACATTGCCAGGGAGAAAAGAACAAGTTAACGGCGTCCTCTTCTCACAGAGGACAGCGCGCCGAGGAGTGTGCTGCTGGCCGGCCAGCTGCCGAGCCCACCCCAGGGCCGCGCACCCAGCATGACCAGGGCGCCTCCCCACCCACAGGGCAGGGCGCCTTGGCTGGTCATTGTTTCCTATGTCACGACTTAATGGAGCCAAATATCTGTGATTTAGTCCTGTCTTGTGACTGTGCTCACTGCCACAAGGACGGTATCTTCTCTTTTGTTCATTGCACCCTTATTTGGGTTTTCTTAGTGGCTTTTCCGTGTGTGCTCTCCCCGTTATGGGTTGTGGGTGGGACCTCTCATGCCTGTGCCCAGTGAGCATGTATCTCTCGTGCTGTCTGCCTGTCCAGCTTCCAGAGGCATTCTTTCTTTTAAGCTTTTGTAAATCATTAGTCTGTTTTATAAATACGAACCCCTGAAAAACAGCGTGGCCCAGTGGGAAGCACAGAGGTGGCTGTATTAAGCAGATTTCACCCTGTGGCCCCAGCCTGTTTACATAGTATTCCCAAGGTCTGGTCTCACCTGTGAAGGGAGACACCTGCGTCTAGTCCACAGGCGGAGCCTCGCCAGCCGGCACGTGCACGCCCTACTGGAAGGAACCACAGGGAAGCCCTCCGGGTCTGGGTCCTGAGGCACAGGCCCCAGAAGTGGGCTCAGTCTGTTAGTTGTGCCAGGGTGGAGGTGCTTGCAGAGGTTCCTAGTTATGGGGCTGTCCTTGGGGTCACTGTGTCTCATGAATATGGCTGAGCTGAGGGCCACAGAGACACTGGATGCACCACATTCTACTAACAATCATGTCTTACATTGCACAGTCACGTTTTATTATTTATAGAAAACCTCAAACCTGACATCAAAAGGTTTTCATGACTAGACGCCCACACTTTCGACCGCAGGTCTGTTCAGCGCTGCCCCGGGCGTGCCTCCTGGTCGAGGGTGGCTCCCAGAGCCCCAGAGGGCTGCCCTCGCTGACACTGTCACTGGGGCACCGGCCCGAGTGTCCTGGCTTGCGAAGCGGTGTGGGAGCAGGTGCCGGGGGTGGGAAGGCTGCCCCGGTCCAGCCAGGCTTCTGAGCTGAAGTAGGTTTAGAGGGATTTTCGCGCAGAGGCCCCACGGGTACAGTGTTGCCATTAGCCGCGGGAGTCCCGGCCTGTCTGTGCCCTGCTGGCCACTGCTCCTGCATGGGGACGGGGCTTGGCCTGCCTCCCTGCACAGCATGGTAAGGATGGCGTGTTTCTGCCTCGTGCAGGAGGTGGTGCTCGGTGCCCATTTCTGCTCATAAGAAAATAACACAAGGATGCACTTTTCCTGCTGTATTTGGCTGTGTCCCGACTCGCATGGGAAGTCCGCAGGACGAGGAGCGTTAACTGAATGTGACGCTGGTGGGTCAGTAAGGTTCTTCGTCCTCGTCCTCCTCACACCCGTGTTGTAACAGGGATGGGGGACATGGTACCTCAGTCATCCCGCTGCCGTGAAATTCCAGTATTTCCTCTGTGAAAGTGGAAAAACAGAGGGGTTGCCATTTTTCAGAGTTTCTTTTTATGTTTTTAGCAATATTCAAAAGTACAATATTTCAAAGAAAGCCAAACATCCCAGGTGAATCCATCAGAAACACAACATGCATAAGAGTACACATGTCTAACCATACATGCTAAGTATCATAACAGATAAAATTTTAAGGGAAAGATGATTTTCAAGAAATAAATAGCAAGCAGGCTGCAGATTATAAGTGAAGTTCACAGCTGTGCTTATTTCTGCCACAGGACCGTGCACATTGCTTTGATTTCTCTCTCTCCTGTTGTGGATGTGCTGATGGAAAGCTCCCCTCTTACAGTCTCAGGAGTGCCTAGTTTGGGTGTATCACATCTCTGCACTGGTGGGTGGCATCTCCGTCATGCTCTTCATCCCGTAACACGGAGCTGTGCCCTGCTCAGCGCCCCCCACCCCCAGCCCTGGTACCCCCACCACACCTCGAGTCGGTCTGAGTCTGGTGACTCCGGGTCCTCATATGAGGGGAATCATACAGCATCAGCACATGGGGTTTTTAAGAAAAAAAGAAGATGCATTCATCAGAATTTCTGCATTTTATCAGAGCCAAACACAGACTTATTTTCCTGATAACAATTAAATTCTATTAATCTGATTTTGCACTGCTGTATAAGTACATTTCAAAAGTGGCTTTTAAAATAATAAATTTAAAAACCAAGTTTTCACTTTATTTTTAGTTGTCTAAACTTAGCCTGAGCCCTCTGGCTGGTTTTCATGAGCTTGAAAACAAGCCAGTCTCTTTAAAAAAACAACTTTTTCTTGGGGAGTTCATGGCTCAAGGGTTGGTAATGTGATATGCAGACGTTTGCATGTTGCTCTTCAGCCCTGAACATACCCTAGTTTGGAACTTAAAAAAATGTATCATGAATGTGTGGGTGCTGACAACCTGAGGTTTGAGCCATGGGGCTCGGGGCTGACACTTCATCGATTCCGAATCAAGGGTGTCAGCGAGATGGGAGGGGGTCCTGAGGGAGGGAGTGCTGGAGATGCAATGTCCTTTGTCCCCCAGGAAAATGTTTCTCTGCTACTCCATGTGCAGATGGCATTGCCCACCGAGGGCATCAATCCCTCAGCCCAGCTGGTGCCACAGGCTGTGCCCAGACATTCTTCCTGGAGCCCGAGGTGGCAGCATTGTAGAAGAGGAGGGAGCCACGCAGGGAGTGTCCCTTCTGTACCTGCACTGAACGCTAGGCATGTCCTCAGTGTCCACTGTCCACAGACACATGCAGAACACAAATGCATTTTTACTTTGAATAACGTCACAGAGACAGACAGAATTTTTAAAAAAGGAAAATAAAACAAAATTTCAGAACTCTGGGATTTTAGAACATAGAACAAATTGGAAAGAGTCCATAGATATACCTAAAAATAATTTGGCCTAATAAAACTTACTTGGTCTAAAAAACTGTGAAAGCCTGCTCACTGAGTGAGATCTCAGCCAAAGAGCATTAATAAACCTAATCTCATCCTTCAAAACTGTACTTCTGGACAACAGAACTTTGTAATATTGGATAAAATCCACAGTAAACTGATTCTTCTTAGAGAGTGTGTGGTCCTTTACCATGTGAAAAATGCAATTTGGTCTGTTAGGGTTTTGATTAAGTCAAATCTCAAAACACACTGGACAGAATAGATAAGTGAAAATACTAATGCTCAGAGAGAATAAACACCAAACAGGCTGTTATTCTGAGTACTCCTGGAACCAGCTGACATCAGGAAACATGAAATGGGGCTTTCACCTGTGTACAGTGACTGTTCCCCGAATCCGACGGACCTCGTACACTGCCTTCGACGTCTATCTGCTCAGCATCCGTGCTGGGGCCAGCTGGGTCTGGAGACTGCAAGCAAGGCGTCGACCTTTGAGGGAAATCCCCAAGCTCGTCATTGATGCGAGCACCACCATCAGGGCCCACGCGCCCCAGCAGCGACCCTGCAGCCTTAGGCAGCTGTGCGGTGGACAGCAGCACCTCAGCAGAGCCGCCGCTTGTTAGCACTGCTTACCGGAAAGCATGTCAAATGGAGCTCGGAATTTTGGATGGCTTGGGCACATGGCTCAGAATGTAGCCCAAGACATGGTTGGCCCTTAAAGAGGAAGCAAGACCTGGATATTTCCTTGTTTCAGGTGGTCAGCATGAAGGCATGTGGGCCCACGGGAGCTGCCCGTGCAGCTTGTGAGCATTCTGGGCACAGAGAAGGGCTGCAGTGGGGTCAGGATTTCATCTCCTTAGTTATTGTGAGCAAAGCATTTTCAAATAGCCGTTTCCTTTTGTACCTCTAAGAGGATCTTTCTGTCCTGTTCCCCTTCATTTAGTCCTAAGGAGCATCTTGCAGCCTGTGACGGCACCCTGACATCACGTTCACCTGCTGTCACCATTCCAGGGATGATGGAAACAGCCCAGGAGTTTGGGTGACCATCTTGTTTCTGTTTAATTACTTTGCCCTGGTCTGTATCCAGGGCACCAGGCCCCGTCACAGCCCTGGCGTGGAGTTGGCAAACTCCCTCGCGGACTGTGCTGTGCTCTGGGCCTCCCCCACCACTTGGAATCTGCTGCGACGGCAGGTGCCTGTCCTGTGGCAGCGGGGCACCGCTCTGTGTGACCTAAATGTCCGTGTGGCTGCCCTCAAGTTTGGATGTGATTCTGGAGCAGTCATAAATTTCTGGCCTGCTTTTGGTGTAAAAACAGACTGTTTGCCGCTTGTTTATCAAAAATTCAGAAATGAGTATCAGCTGAGCCTCATGCTTACTGTCCAGATTAAAGTCAACTGCAGGCTTATTCATCCTTGTCATTCAACACAGGAATTAAAAGTACTAAGTGTGGACAGAATGCCCAGCCGAGCACAGCAGGCCAAGAACCTCAGAAGATGCCAGGCACCTCAGTGGACGTGTGCCCTGCCCGGCACAGATGCCAGTCAAAGGAGGCAGGGTGGGCACCCGGGGCCTTCTCGGATACTCGGGTCGCCAAGTTCAGGGGCCTGCTCATGGTCTTGACTCTTCTCATGAGCCAGGTACCCCACCTCCATTTCTGGGACCGTGGCAGCCTCCCCCCTATGCTGACCATCTGCCCCCATAGTCTCCTCCTGTTTCCACTGCATCACCCTTGACTCCCTCCTTTCTCACCTGCACCCCAGCACCACCATTTCTGGCTCCACTTCTTCAGCAGCATCCCAAAACAACCCCTCCTTCTGCCCTCCCTGCAGCCCCACCACACCCCAGCCAGAAGGACGCTTTCCTGATGGCTGGTTTCAGACTACAGCACGGGGATGGGCACCTGCGATGTGGTCAGACCCACACCGCGGGCCCCACTTCCACCCTCTGGCTGACCTGCTATGGCTGGGGGTCTGCCCCTCTCTGTTCCACCCACGATGACATGCCACCTCATTCCTGTCAGAATGGCTAGTATCAGAAATGCAGAAAGACCTTTGTAAATACAGACCTAATCTGCCCACGCCGGCCACGGTCTCCCCACTGTACTTTGATGACAGACAGAGTCCCAGTGTGGGTCCCGTGGGTCCCAGGGACGTGGACTGAGACAGCCTGCCCACAGGGCAGGTGGGGGCAGCCAGGGAGCTTGGCTTGTGTCTCAGCGACACAGCAGCACATTCCAGCTGGTGCCACGAGCTGTGACACACCTGGGGGGGCCCTGCGCCCTGCCTTGGCTCTGAGGGTGCCAGCAGCCCATGCGGAAACAGGAGAGGTGGCTGAAGGTCCTGCTCAGAAGGGATGCAGTTTATTTTCCTGGGTTCACTGAATTGAAGATGGAGCTGAGATCACCCAGTTGGAAGCTGTGCGGTGGAATCTGCACTGACTAGGTGGTTTTCACCAACTAAACCCTCTAGGAACTGACATGGTACCAGTGTAAGAAACTCACTGGCAGGACGAAGGAGCACAGCCTCTGTTAACTGAGCCCGACGTGACTTTGGGCTCTTGGATGTGGAAAGGCAGGTAGGACCTGGTGACAAAGAGAGAAAATGTAGAGGAGTTGTCAGTAGGGAAAATAACCCCTGTGGCCACGACAGCTGCACGTCCATCTCACAGCCAGACTCCCTTTTCCCTTGTTGAATGATTGACTGTGTTTTGGGGAACAGCAATTTGCACTGCAAAAGACCATGTCTTCAGACCCCCTTGCATCCAGGGGTGGCTACTTTAATAATCTCAGGTCAATGAGGTGTCACATGGAAGTTACTGGGAGGGAATACCAGGACGGCTTCTCAGGGGGGCAACAGAAGCTAAATAAAGCCCATCTGCCATCCTTCCTTCCTCCTGACTGGAAGGAGATGCAATGGCTAGGGTCAGCAGCCCTCTTGTGACCTTGCGGATGGAATCCATACATAACAAAGGTGGAATGGAAAAGCCGAAAACAGCCTGGGTCCCAGGACAAGTCCACAGAGCTACCCAGCAGCCCTGATGGCCCCTTCTGGCTCTTTTCCATGAGGGAATAATCCTTGGTGCTAAATTACTGTTGTTTCAGGTTTTCTGTTATTGAAGCTGAAACTTGACCTAATTGATACTTCCTAATGGGGTGCCGGTGTTTTAGCACAAATGTATCCTGGTTACAGTATGAAAATCAATATTAGAGAGGGGGAATGTGAATCTTGCAGATTCTACATTCAAAGATTCTCAAAGAACCATGTCCAGGCCCTTAACTGCCTGCAGAGACTGGAGCCGGGAGCCCTGGTGTGGACGACAGCGTGAGAGGCCAGCCCTGCGGAGTCAGCCTGGGGGCTGGGTGATCAGCAGAGAGGTAAATTCAGGGCGAGGCTGTGTGAGGTAACAGGTGACTTAATGGGAGCAGTAGACACCCATTTTCTGACATCATCAGACTTCAGGAATCCTCATCAGCTACCGGGAAGATGTGGCTCTTCCTGGAAAGAGACCAAGTGGAAGCTTTTCCAGCTATGAGGAGCATTGTCAGAGTCATAGTAACATATATGGATTTGAACCATATAAAATTGCTGATATTTGACCACTTTCGATGCCAGAAACATGACTTTCATAATATGCAACTTTGTGTTCTCAACATTATTTAAGCATTTTATTATTAAATAAAATTCCCATTATTTTTGTTTGTTTTCATACTTAATATTGTTTATATTAATTATTAAATACCTATTTTTCAAATTACTATCAATTCCTATTTTTTGTTTTTGAAATTTTTGTTAATATATCCATTTTCACAATAATATTTCCTTGTGTAGTTAATTTGTTAATGAATTTTTTGCTCTTACAATGCTTTAACACCTCCCGTCTGTTTTTTCATTGTGTTCATCTCGTTTGTGATGACCTGGGAGCAGAGCTGTGGAGAGGGCTCAGACGACAGGCCGGCTGAAAGGACCCCATCTCTCAAGGCTCAGCCCACTCCTGTCACCTCCCACCGGTGATCAGTGGTGAGTTTGAAGGAAAAATAACACCTCAGCATGAGAGATTGTACATGCACGACCTCCGAGTTCATATACTCTCTCTGTGGACACAGGCGGCTGGGAGTCCTGCATCTGACCACACAGCACCCGCCGGGGTCGGCTTGCAGACTCAAATCCCTGCAGGGAGCAAGCCGGAAGAGGATGTGAACCAGCGGTTCATCCCTGACAGCTCGGACACTGTGTGGCCACAGGCCGGATCTTCCTATTTCAAAGCAGGCTGGTGATAAAGCATTCCTTGTAAACTCTACTGACTTGTGAAAGTGTTAGCTTACTTTTTAATGCTGTGAGGGTCCAGCAAACTGTCTGTGAGCCAATTTGCCCCAAAGGCACTGCTAGGCCTGATGAGAAATCATGATCTTTGAATGCTGGAGGCTGTCTTCGCCTTGTAGAGTCCGTGGGTGCAGGCTGAGCCAGGGAAGAGGCCAGAGCCTCCAGCAGAGAAGTCACAAGAGTGCAGACAGCTCCAGTTCTCACCTCTTTCCACTGACTCATCTTTCTTTTTGTCAGAATTAATGAGTAACTGCTCGTATCCTACAGCAAAATGCAATAGCATTTATTAGACAGGGAGAAATGGAAGGGTGAGAAACCGAATGAAGTAAATAAATAGAATTCATGTCACAGATCTCTTCAGGGTAATGCACTGCAAGTGGACAGCATGCAGACGCACGCTTTTCCACTTGCTGGGACCGGATGCCAGGTTGTTAACATTTTCCCTCCTCTGAGCTGGTCTAGCCCATATGTACATCTTGAAACACTCTTTGCTCTTTTAGTTTACATCTACGTAGGAGTCGGCCTAAGTTGCCTGCCTCTATCTTTTGTCCCTGGGATGAAATGACATGTGGGAAGAAGTCTTACCAAATTGGATCCATGGAGATTATAGAAGGTGGAGTGCTGAGCACATGTTGAATATCAGAAAGAAAAAAGGTACAAAACAACTTTCTTGAGAGGAAAAGCAGCGTATGCCATCATTCCAAAAAAAGATGTCAATGAATAGCGACAGCAGACACAGTTGTGTAGGCAGCAAGAATAAAGGGCTTAAATTCCATGAGCGAGAGGACCAGGAGGGATTTGCCTAGTCAGCAACCCCGGCACCATTTTGTTTTTAAACATTAAGTGTCAAGATGTAATGGGATAAGATCTCCCAGTGTTTGAGAGGGAAGATAGGACTGTACAAGGTCCTAACCAGCAAGATGTGTGTCATCTAATGAACAGAAGTAGCAGAGTTCAAAACGGTTCTATTTACAGACCCTTCCTGAAAAATCAGCGTAATTCCAGCCCAGCGTGACATGAACCCAAGTGAAGAGCTCAACAAGGGAAGGATTACCGCATAAAAAGACTACCAGGAAGTATGGAAACCAGTTAAATGTGAATCTGTCTAAAGAAATCTGTTTCCAAAAACAGACTCAGACATCAAAAATATTTGTCGATCGTAAGATAAAGAATGTGACACAGAATCGTGTACATTTGGCTGGAACCACATCCCCAGGAATCCACAGGGTAAGGCCTGGACACCAGCATGACTGCGGTGGGGAGGTGAGGTCGAGTGAGGCTGCCGACTGTGGCCCTCACCCCGGGTGACTGCACGGTGAGGGGGGACGGCGAGTGAGGGGGCCATGGGCTCAGCCCACCCCGGGCCTGCCAGCACCTGGGTGTCGGGCGTTCAGCCTCCGGAGCTGTGGCAGGAAAACGCGTTTCCATTGTTGAAGCCACCAGGCCTGTGGTGGTTTGTTCTGGCAGCCAATCTAAGACAACGGGCCGTGAAACGGTTCCTACGTTAGACACAGATCATCAAAGGTAGTGTTGGGGGATCAGCAAGTTGAGTTGGACAAGAGAGGAACGTAAGCTAAAATGATTTTAACAAAAATAACCAGCAGTGTAAGTATACGGTCAATAAATAGCATCCAACATAATGGAAGGTCAGTAATTTTTCATTATTATTACTGTTAAAAAGTAGAAATAAAGCAAGCATGAAATCATGAGTTATGGGGGAAAATAAGGACAATAGTCAGAAAAAAAGTAAAAACAAAAAATAGAGAATTAGAAGACAGTACCTGGGTCTTGGACTTTGAGCTGAAAAATAATATAATTACACAATTCAAATGCCAATTCTATAAAAATAAACATAAGAGTATTCAAGCATATTCCATAAGAGTATTCAAGAACAGAAAGCACAGAATCACATTAAAATACATTTATGGAGAAGAATATTTTCTATTTTAGAGATATAAACCCCATATATTATATATTTACTAATTTAATAATAGGCATAATAACATGATTATATATTTTGAACAAATAGTATCATATCAAAAAAAGGATAGTTTAAGATTAACATAACCATATCATAATTCATCATGCCACTTGGTCAAATAAAAAATAATCATTTTTATATATCATAAAACTGCCTTGTAAAAAATTCCAACATCTATTTATGGGAAAAAATCTCCTGTTTATACAAAAATTGGACTTTAATCAATTGCAAGTCATTGTCAAAAATCTTAATGTCAGGTTAATATAAGAAATTCATTTCTAAAAAACAAATAAGCAAGGATCCCCAGTAACATCACATATTTACTATAAACAACAACTATAATAAAATGTGTATTTACAACATTTGGGGTTCTAAACCAAGGTAATAACAAAATTTATCTCTAAGCCTTTCATCAACCCACAAAGGCAATTTTATTTTCCAAGTTTAATGAAGATAAAGTGGCATTGACAGACACATAACTCAGGGAAAGTTGCTCAGAAGTGAATAGAAGGTCTGGGATTGAAACCTGGCAGGACTCCGTCCAAGCATGACCTCCTGTCACCGATTTCCTTGTTCTGGGTAGTTTACCTAAGGCAGTAAGACAAAAGGAAGAAATGAGACAAATATGGAGAAAGTAGGAGACAAAAGTGTTTGAGATCATACGACTATTTACAAGCAAAGTCCAAGGGAGACAATTGAAAGTTAGCAATGAGATAAGGTATTCAGACACCAATAATAAATACGGAAAAAATTTATAAATAAAAAAAGAAATGGGAGAAATCACAGTGGCAGTATTAGAAAACATGATGACAAAGGGTTCCATTTGTAATGGCAACAAAAATTATGGGATGCCTGGGAATACACACCCATACATGCAGCAGAATCTGTCATCTGTCAAGGGGAAAATTCTAAAAAGTCCTAAATAGATGAAAGGATAAGGCTTGAATAAAAAATAAATTATAGTATTAATTCTTCCCATATAATCTGACAGAACAAATCTATACTTATTTACAGAAACGAATAGAGGGCAATTAATTTTAAAAATATTTAAAGTACAATAAGATAACTGTTGTACAATTGACATTAAAGTGTATTTTAAAGTTTTGATAATTGAAAAAGTATTGCAATGGTCCCACAACTAATGAATATATAAAAGGAACACACTAAAAGTAGACGCAAGAAATATAAACATGCTCTTTACATATTAAGTATCTTTTTCCAATAAGTGACGTGAATTAAAGCATTGTGATAAACAAAGAACTTCTAAAATTGTTTCATCTGCTTATTTTTTATTGAGTCATAATTGACATTCATTATATTAGTTTTAATAATTTGGTATTTGTATGTATTGCCAAATGATCACCAGAGTCTGCTACCATCTGTCACCTTATATAGTTGAGAGTTTGTTTTCTTGTGATAGGAACTTTTAAGATTTACTCTCTTAGCAGCTTCAAAATATGCAATATAGTATTATTAACTACAGTGGCCATGCTGTACTGATGTCCCCAGCGCTTACTTATTTTGTAACTGGAAGTTTGTACCTTTCGACCACTGAAGGATAAAATGCTAAGTAAATGAGCTGATACTGGGATTTTAGATGAGGCAGAGTCTCCTGGGCTTTTAGGCAGTTAGTGCTGACAACCCAAGTTTCTCTACATGCAGAACATGAAATGTCAACCGGTATCATAATGTTAGCCATTCTGAGCTGCTTCAATCACCAAAGCAAGATTAATTTATGTGCACCATAATTTACAATCTCTGTATTTTATTTGAACTCTTTACAAACTGGCCACGATGGGCTAACTGGCCTCGCCACTGGTCTCTCTGCCTTGCTGCATCCGCCACTGTCCTGTCAGAATTCAAATCAAATCTATTCTTCCTCAGAAAGAATTGTTATTATAGTCTTGATTAATCAGATAATTTCTTTCCCTCAGGCTTTTCCGGGCTTTTGGAAAAAGACTCTTTCCTGCTTAGAGTGAGTGGTGGAATCTGGACGCTTGGACCCCATTTCGGAGAGCGTGTTGTCGCGAAGTGATTTGAGCCTATTCAAAAGACACACGAGTGGTGTGTGTTTCTGTGCCTTTCACAAATCGCACCTGACAAAATAATGAGGCCATGGAGCCTGAGTCCTGGGAGGAAGTGTGCGGCGGACGGGCGGGGAGCTGGCTTGGCCGGGGGGCAAACGCCGCCCTGCTAAGTTTCAGCCTGACCTCCCACATGCGAGGCCTGGATTCCCGGATTCTCATGATTTCCTTGTTCTACGACAGTGACTGGGAAAAAGGGGGGCATCGCGGGGCTCGCGAGGTCGGACAGTCGTCGGGCACCGAATGGTGGCGAGGGAAATGCCCTGGAGGAGACGCTGCCTCTGGGTTTCACTCACCTCTGGAAAAGCGATACAATTGCGGGGAGTAAGTTCTGTTTGAGACGGTCTGTCCATCCTGAGCGCCCCCTCGGGACGGGCGCTTTTACTATTTCTAACACCAAAGCAGCTGTACCTCAGTCGTCAAAACAAGACGGAGCTTAATCATGCACCAAAATGTAAAACAGCTGTCAGCTTCGCTTCTGGTGGTAAATCAGGATGATCGCAGCGCACTTATTATGACTCAATTATGCTAATTATTTTCCTTGCAAAAACACTGTACTAGGCACGTGTGGGTCATGTGAAAAGGAAAGCATTTCAAACACTATCTGGAGCTGCCTTCAGGGTCCTGCGGAATTTAAGGTCTCCCCCTCCCGGGCCCGGCCAGCCGCCGGCGCTGCCCTTCAGGACAGGGCCAAAGGCGGCTTTTAAGGTGGTTATCCGGACACAGGAGATGTAAAACCACTGCTCAAAGCGTAGTTTTTCATTCAACAAGCATACAGAAGGAAGGATAGGCAGAGAGTAGGAGAAATGAACAAAAAGCAGAAAGAAGTGAGGAAGAAAGGAAGGGGCAGACACGGGGAGACCCTGGCCGCACCGACGGAGCCCGCGGCGCGGGAGTGACCGCAGTGCAACGTGGTGACAGCAATGAGAAAAAAGGAAAAAGCCTAAACACAGACTCCATAAACATGCACATTTAATTTTAATTACTATAATTATTTTAACAGCAAACAGTGAAAGCTGTGTACCATGATAAATCAAAATTTTATATGTGATTATCGAAAATGAAATTTAAAAGTGAATTTTCATCTACCTGGGTTTTTCATCATTTATTAGAAGAGATAATGTTTTTAAATGTGAAATAAGATTTTTAGCCTCTACTATCTTCAAGAGTATATAAGGGGAGTAAGACCTGAATTTAAGAAAATGGATATAAATTCTTATGCATGTACCCCAATTTCTTAAAGAACATCTTGGAAAAACAACTATTTCAAGAATGATGCCATTTTTTATAAAAATCCTATACATTATTAACAAAGACATACCTATGGGAAATCATTACTTTCATAATACAAATGAAAAATAGAAACTAGTACCAAAAGGAAAGGTAACTCAATAGCGGTATTACAGAGAAAAAGCAAGTCAGTGAATGCTCCTTTGGCACATATCAAACGAAAGCATAATAGTAAACCAGGATGATAAAAACTACAGAAAACCATTCCAAAGCTACAAATCCCTAATGGTAGAAAGAGTGACACTGAGTTTGTATTAAATCAGATTTCTTAAGTCTGTTATGTTCTATGTATGAGGTTGATAACGGACAAATATTTTACTATTCTTGTTTTTAAAACCTGGATAAATTTAGAATGAATTAGTTTCAGCATTGCGAACTTGCTGACCAGGTATAGTAAATAATCTGAAAAACTGAAAATTTCTAGAAATAGAAATATACTTTTTGTACATTTACCATAATATGATTCATTTCTACTTCTCTGAAATGTCCAGCCAGTGAAGGTGTGACCACCAGTGATTAACCAACAGTTAAGGCAGCTTCTGGCCTTGACCCAGGGTCATCAAACAAAGCTGTGTCTAGACTACATAACAAAGGGGGAGCGTTCTTACAGATAAGCACTGCCTTTCAGCATGCTGAGTCCCTTAGCACATTAAGGGGATTATACACTGTACAAGGATTCTACAAAGTAGTATTTATTCCATAAATGCAAAGGTAGCTCAATATAAGAAACTCAGTGTATATACCACACTGGTGGAATGAAGGGGAAAAGAAAGTGGTCACCTTAATAGACACAGAAAAAGCATCTGATAAAATTCAACACCCTTTCATGACTTAAAAAAAAAAAAACAATTCAGCAAACTAGGAATAAAAGATAACTTTTTTAAGATAAAAAAGGACAATTGAAAAAACCCATTACTTAACGGTAAAAGATTAAAATCTCCCCCTGAAATCAGGAGCAAACAAAGCTGCCGACTTTCACACTGCTGTCCAACAGCACTGGGAGCAATTAGGCAACGAAACTAAACAAATAAAGGCATTCAGATCGGAAAAGAAGTAAAACTATCTCTACTTACAGATAACATGATTCTATATAGAGAAAATCCCATAGAATCTACACCAAAAGCAAAGTAACTG